CAGCAAGGATGCCCCAGCCACTTTAGTGCACATCTCTGCAGAGAGGGGAGTGGCATCACCCAGCCCTCCCACTGACCATGCAGGGTCTTCACACATGAATTCTACAGGGTAAAGGAGGGCTTTTTGTGTCTCCAGGAGACCTGGGGGACAGGAGGTAACCAGCAGATTAGGTTAAACACACTCCTGTGCACTTCTGTCCTGGGTCAAGCGCACTGACTCACAAGCTGGAGTACAATAGTCTCTGTATCTGGTCTCTATTTAGACGAGTACATGCTAAATGTGCGTGTTTTACATGCCATGGAGAGAAGGAACTGACGTACATACTTCTCTGTGCACTTCCATAATGTGTGATATTTGAAACTGGGATCTGAATTAGGCATCACACTTAAGGTCACACTGGGGTACAGTCGGGCTGTAAACTGGCAGAGCAGGAGAACAAGAGAGTCAACATCAGCTTGCCTCCAACCACACACATCACGCGTCTCTTTGAAACAGGGTTTTCATCAAATTTTCTCTCTTATCTTTTTTTGTTTCATGATGTCTTCAGAAATATTTCCCATTTTTACGGAAAATTTTTTCTAGGTAGTACTAGTATTGCTTTGACACAATAGAACAAGCAATAAATGCTTAATAACCTGCTTCGTTTGTAAAATGCACCAAAGACATCTGACAGGAGTATGCAGTTCAGTATCGGTATAGTTATGAGTATCACTAACAGGTGCTTCTGTAAAGAATACCTCCTGCTTGCTATCTTACATAATAATTCATGCCTCTTTAATTATTTTTTGACAGTCACCACTGCTGAGATTGCTATGTACCACGGCGGCTTAGACAGGGACGTAATTATAATTAATACAAATGTTCTCAAACTTACGTAAGATCTACAGCAATTTTAGAAACAACAGCAAATATAATTAATCACAGTAAAATCGACAGCGGCGGTACACGAAAGTCTGTCAAACTGTTATTGAGATAAATTATTCCTTATGGAAAATGTTGAAGACGCAGGTATTTTTTATTTGCACAAATAACACTAAATCAGACGTGGGTAGAATATGGTAAAAAAACAAACAAACCCAAACCCTCCTATTTGCATTACTGTACATTATTCCTGAGAGTGTGCTGCAACCAAGCTCTGCATAGAGCTCTGGTTTCCTAGATGGTCACCTTACAGCCTTCTTCAGCATTTGCTGCCCCAAGCTCTGCGCTGTCAGAGGATGCCATTTAGGACAGGGACAGAAGACCCCGAGTTGCCCACCGATAAAGAATCAACCTTATGATCTTACTAAGGTTGTTGTTTTCAGCAAAGCTTTCATATCATTAGACCAGGCAAAGCCTAACAGATTCGAGAGGGTCATAGGGCGTGGGAACGCACCCCTCATGGCCATGCCTGCCTTTGGTCCCTATCACCTATATGCTAGACTGTTCCATGAATTGATAGGCTTTGTATTCTTCTGCAAATATCCTTCCGGAAGGCAAAGTGATGTTCACTGAGTTAGTAACCAACAATGACTCCTTCCAGAAGACTAAGACAGGTGCCCATGCCTAGCTCCAGGCTGACCAGCTTGGAGTGTTGGCCATCCCAGACAATGAGCTCATCCTCCTCAGTGCACATTTCCAGTGGCGCTTCCAGAAATATTGATAAGTTATTTTCAACCTCCTACTTTCTCTTATGCTGTGGCTATGAATGTACCCTCCCAAATAGGAATGCAAGTAGGCAGGTGTGGTGGTTTGAAAGAAAATGGCCCCTGAAGGGAGTGGCAGTATTAGGTGTGGCCTTGTTGGAGGAAGTGTGTCAATGTGAAGGCGGGCTTTGAGGTCTTGTACATGTTCAAGTCACGCCCAGTGAATCAGTTTACTTCCTGTTGCCTCTGGATCAAGATATAGAATCTTAGCTCCTACTCTAACAACATGTCTGTCTGCATACCACCATACTCCTAGCTGCCTTGCTCCCCACTATGATGATATAGGATTAAACCTCTGAAACTGTAAGCCACCACCTCCATTAAATGTTGTCCTTTGTAAGAGTTCCTGTGGTCATGGTGTCTCTTCACAGCAATAGAAACCCTAGCTAAGACAGTAGGTAAGTAGATGACAGACAGACAGATGATGGGTAGGTGGATAATAGGTAGATAAATAAATATGTAGATAGTAATAAATAAAGAAAAGAAGGAAGCCAGGGTAATAGCACAAAAGAAAGCTCTACAAAGTTTGATAACACTAATTTCGACCTAGAAAAAAAATAGCCAGTCTGTGTAGAAATCCACCCCTGGGGCCATCCTTTTCCTTCTCTCTCTTTCGTTCTCTTTCCTCACCCCCTGTGGCTTTTGTGGGACGGTGAGAAATGTGGCTGAAAGATCAACTGCTTAGCGACCAACATCACAGGGCTTAAAGTGACTGAACAAAGAGATATTTGGAAGACCTGCCGGGTAGCTTAAATAATGGAATGCGCCTGTTATGCACCAGCGACACCCCAGCAGCCGATGCATGATTCATGCAATGCTTTAATTCTTCTGTCTAGAAAGGGTGCTCGGAAAATTTAAACTTGAATTTTGGTGAAAAACCCTGAACAATTCCAAGTTTTAAGGATTTCTATCACATGTTGTAGCACAAGCCTAAATTTTAAAGGGTTGCATTTATAGGCAGAGTGTGTTGGCTCATTTGTCTTACAGAGAACACAGTCTGTTTCAGAGAAGGCAAATCCGGTAGCGCATGCTGCGCACACAGCCCTGTTAAGATTATTGTGTAGTAAATAATCATGTAAAATCTGACATGACTTATGGATGTGTAAAGTGTAAAGTTGTATCAAGGCCATATGTTACCAGAGGCAATCTCTTCAAATGCATAATTTATAGCATCAACCCTGTGACTACCTGAGAGACCTAGGTAGAAAAATGAGCAAATCCAACAGAGAAAGACCCATGGAGGATTAGTTAGCATTTAGCTGAGGTCACAAGGGCAAATGGATTACCACATTTCAGGCTGCTCCTCACAGAGAGCGTGCTGGGTGACACAAAGATCCAATACAGTCTAAGAATTTCAGATAAGTCTCAGAAATCTCCAGTTTGAATATTTAGGCATGAAGAACCCATTGTTGCTTGAGATTTTCCTTGGTAAATGCTAAAAACAATACAAAAATCACTGATATCCCCAAACACGGATCTATGTTAATAGGAGGATCAAACAAAGATCATCCAGAAAATAAAATGAGTGATGAAGATGAAAAGAGACATAAAAAAACAAATAAAATAAAAAACAGTATGAAATGTGAAAGAGAGTGAAATAAATATACAAAGACAAACAAAGGTAGGTATGGTAGCTCATGCCTGCAATTCCAGCACCCAAGACGTGGATACAAGATCTTGAGTTCAAGGCCAGCTAGAGCTATAGACTGAAACCCTGTTTCACAAAAGAAAACACGTGCATGTGAGTGCGTGCGCAAGCACACACACACACACACACACAGAGAGAGAGAGAGAGAGAGAGAGAGAGAGAGAGAGAGAGAGAGAGAGAGAGAGAGAGAGAAAACTAAAAATGAAGAGAAAAATGAGTTAGGAAAAGGAAGGGTCAGACAACACATGTCAAGGGACAAAGGACACATGGAAAAAGCAAGAAGACAAAGTTGGCCGGGTTCATGTGTTTGGGTATGAACCCACTTACTTACTGCTCAAACACAAGGCTTAGCTTCACTTTGGATGTTCCCTGAACTCTACAAGCCCACACTGAAGAGCTTCAGAGCTGGGATTATTATTTCTAGTCCACAAAGCATAGCCGTGCACAAGGGATGTACATCCTGGGAGTACACCCATGTAAGGGGACCCTAACTCCACACGTCCGTCCAGAGCCGAAATCTGCCTTCTGCTCTCAAGTGTCTTCTAGTCCTCTGCTCCACAGTCTGTGCACGGCATCACCACCACTCCATGCTGCATGAAGAACTAGGCTCCTTCTAGACTTCCTTCTCCCTTCAGCTAGCTACTGGCAATCTACCCCGTTACCCCCTCAACCAGTCTCCTTACGAGAGGTTTATTTCTTGCTACAATTGCATCTGCACATAAAACTTAGCCGATACCATCGTCAGCTAGACTTCATGATGGAGTCCAGCCTCACCCCTGGCCTCATAACCTTCATGATCTGCCTCTGACAGGCTCGCCTGCTTCACCTCTGCCATCCATGACCACATCCCCATCCCATGGCTACAACTGTTTTAACTACAGAGTGAAGAAGCAAGCCTCACGTACTTCCTCTGTTTGGGCACATTATCCTACTCCTTCTAACCATCTATATATTTGTCATTTTATATAAATTTAAGACTTTATTAGTAAGCCAGGTTTTTAAAAACTTGCTCACCCAAAAGCCGACACTGAATGTTTTCCAACCAGAGAAGGAAAAAATCACCGTAGCCAGATTTTCTCATCTCTCCCGCCAATAAATGATCCCTTGGCCACACAGAACCATATCACAACACTAAGCGTGCTTTAATAACTTAGTCCTGTTTCTTGTTTTTTTTTTTTTTTCCATTTTGGGGTTGATTTTCTCATGGGGTACTGTACCAATTAACTGCTCTAGCATGCTGCCAACACAGGACACTGGCTCAAGAAATTCATCCTTATAGTTTTCATCATAATGGGAAGGAAGTCTTTCTCCTCGCATGCTTTGGAGCGTCAAGTACAGAGCTGTCCGTTGTCAGTACCAAACACTTGTCAGGGGATACAACAATTTCGCATAGCTTTTATATTATCCCACAGGAAGAAATAAAGTTCTTGTATTCCTTGTGGCATAATATACTTTTCATAGTCACAAAACCCCCAAGCATTTACCCTAAATTTCCGTCCCCTAACTGCAAATGCTCCATGATTCAACACGTTCACAATCGTGGTCACACAGTGACAGTGGGCCACCACTGCCTCCCCAGTAACTGGATCTCTTCATACACACAAAGTGATCCCGCAACACAAGGAGGGGATCCAGCTCCACTTTGGGCAACCAGCTAACAAGCTCACCTCTTCTTCATGACCAGCACAACTCCGAGAAATATGATAACAAACAGCAAGATGCCCGCGATCACTCCAGCAATTTTAACCGTGTGGTCTGTCTGTTTCTCGGGTTCGGGGACTGGCTTTGGAGTAACGGCTCCTGGGGATGAAAAGGAGAGCAAGTGGGTAAGACAGAATAAAGACGTTACATTTAAATCCCCCCCCCCCCCCGCATTTAACAGAATAATGCGACTTATCAGAGCCAGCAGAAGACAGGCGGGCTTTGGTTTCTTTCTTTTTTTCCTTTTTTTTAAAGCAGCTTTCCGAGGTGCTGAAAGCATTGTAATGGTTCTCCTTGCTCAACACTTCAACTCAGTCACCGCACACCCACGTCTGACCCTTTTCTAAGAGACTTCTCAAACGCGCTTTTTAATATTTTTATTATCTCTTTTAGTTCCCGTTCTTCCTTCCACTTCAAAACTTGCTAACGGCACAATAGCTATCCCTAAGCCTTTATCCAAATGTGATTCACGGAAACATTTTCCTCAATTATTTTTCATAAATGAAGCCATAATTCCGTCACATATTAGCCCAAACACCTGGAAAAGCGAGATAAGCTCATTTGCTATGCATTTTTTTAACCAGCAATTGTTTTTTTTCTATTTTTTATTTTAACACAATAGAGACTCCCCCCCCCACACACACACCTTTGGAAATCTGAATCTAGGTCACATCTGGAAAGCAAAGGGATCCTTCTAAGCAATTTATTCACCAAGTGGGCAGCAGCTGGTGATCATGCCACCGGCACCCACGGTTCATATCTGTTTAAATGAGATAACCAGGGCCTCCGAGTGGCGGCTCTGTCTTAGCTCGCTTGCGCGCCTGCTTCCAAGACACGGTCTGTCCTGCTGACGGTATAATGTGATGGAATCTCAAATCTGTGTCTGATGAAATATCCATTTCCTCTGCTAAATGAGTTCAAGAATGAAGACTATTAGGAGTGCAATGTCCAATTCGTTCCACAGCGCCTGCTTTCCCAGAGAGGTTACTCCTTGCCTCATCAGGATATGATGGCCTGGCGTTTGGATCACCACCCCATCCTTCCTAAACAGGGCAGTTTTATGTGCAAACTTCTCTTCCTAAGATCTTTCTCCACCTTTGTTGCTCAAAATGTACTTGGGCATGAGAGTGGGTGCCTGTCTTTCTCCCTTTCCACCAATGCATGCGTTCTGCTGTGCTTGGAAACCTGCACTGGTCCTGTGTCTGTGCCAGCCTGCACCGCAGACCAGGCATCATCGTGGGGAACAGGCGAGCTGAGTGACAGCTGCCCAGGTTTCCTTACTCCTTTGGAAGCATACGGACCCTGCTTCTTTCCAACTAAACTACATTTGGGGAAAGGGTTTGCTGTCACTTTTCCAGGGGTGTAAGAGCGCTTGGGTTCAGCGTCTGAACTTAATTAACCCAAGCAACACTCAGGGCTGCCACAGCATGAGCACGAGTATTCAGTGGCAAACCGACACCATAACCTCCCCTCGTGGTTTTAGGTCCCTGGGGGCAGGGAAAAAAGAGGAGCAATAGGAACACAAGGGACATGGACGTTGTGGGGCTTCTTTTATTCTTTCTCTGAGGCACAAACAGTCTTTACTGGGCTCACAGGAGCCCATTGGTCTTGAGGACCTCTGTGAACTTGCTGGGTTTCTTCTCCACATTCTTTTCTGCCTGTTTCCGTGGCTTCAAGAGCTGGGACTATTACTTCTTGAAGCCGGAGGATCCCAGGCTGGCCTTGGGCTCCTTTTGTAGTCCAGGATGACCCTGAACTTCGGGTTCTCTTGCCTCTGCTTCCCAAGTGCTGTGACCACAGGCACGCACGCACTGCACAGGGACTGTGTAGAGCTGGGGATCACACCAGGGGCCTTGTGTGCTATCAAAGTACTCTACCTTCTCTGGCCTCCGAAAACACACCCCCCTCCAGATGTCTGGAAGACCAATGGCTAAAACGGAAGTCTACATTTGAACTGAGCTGGTTTCAGCCACTTTATGCTACATGGAAGTGATAATCTAATATTTGTCTTTTTTTCCCCCTTTTGAGCCTTTGTCCAGGTTTTGCGGTTAGCTTCCTTTAAAAGAGGACCATCCAGGCTTTAAAGATCATTGTGAGGCAAATCATTCATGTCTTGTTGCCCAGCGTATTACAGTTCTTTGCAGCCTTATTTACTTGATTTTTACTCGTACCTTAATATTATACGTAATGGCAAAACAACCCAAAGATTTTTCATCTAAATTACATAGTATTGTCTTTCTTCCTAGGAACAGTCAATTACAGCTCGGAGAACAACCTGCGCTCGCGCTCTGTGTAACCTGATTATGCTTTTGAATTTATAGCTTTCCCTCTGCCCCATTCCACTGTAGGGCAAACAGAGCGTGCACGGCCTCCAAGTAATGATCGCATCTGCAGTTTCTCATGCACAACTAAGATACTCTGTTGTTTGAAAGGTACATCTTCCCCTCGGATTAATCAACTCTCTCTCTCTTGTTTCGGTTCTAATTTCATGGCAGCTATTGCTCCCACTTATTGATGTGGCTGACACCCCGTGGATAGGACGATTTATCAAAGACTACGCACTCACTCTCTCCGGACTCTCAAAGTTCTGAGAGAATGATTAAGCCTGCTACTAGTCTGATGAAATACGGTCATTTTCCCATTTAAATTTCTTGAATCATGGTCAAGTCATAAAATGAGGAATCAACTTGTCAATACGGAGTCATCAACCACGGGCGTCTTTCATAGAAAGTACATAATCGATAAAAGGGATATAAGTGGCTGCTTCAGGCTTGCTGGAGGATGAGTTGGTGAAAAGTTGGGGGGGGGTGAGGTACCAAGACACGGAAACTGAACACTGAAGGAATTAGAATCACCACCTGTTGTCAGTCGCGTTTTCTGTCATTGTTTATACTTTTCGGTCAAGGTCTAACTTACGGCTAGCACTTAAAAATGATTTCTGGGGCAGGAAGAACACAAATGCTCCCTTTGTAAAGTATTATTTACAAGCCCCCATCCTGAGTCTTTTCTGCTTCTGAAATGTATTTACTTTACTATCAAAAATTAAATATATTTAGGGCCGCTGAGATGTCTCGGTGGGTAAAGGCACTTGCCAGCCCGCCCGATGACCTGATTTTGATCCCTGGCACCACACGGTAGAAGGAGAGAACTAAGTCTTGGACTTGTTCTCTGATCTCCATACATACACCATAGCACATGCCTGCCAATACGACACACACCACAGACAGACAGACAGACAGACAGACAGACAGACACACACACACACACACACACCACACCACACACCAATCCCATACAAACACTAATTTTTTAAGTGAGCCCATCCAATAAATTAAATAAGCTTGCCAGAATTATCAACGCTCCAAGGGCTTCAAAACATGCAAAGAATTTTGGAAACTGCATGCCGGGATGGGAAGTGTCTTATACATGCCCCAAGAGCCACACACGCATGGCCCTTGGAAGTGTAATAAGCGCAGAGAAGTGCAGGACTGTGCTCGTGCTATAGACGCACTCTACCCCTGAGCTCCCCCTCACGTCCAGAAAAAACACTTCTGAATGTGCAGGCATAAAAGGAAGTCTTACAGGGGACACCTAAGAGATGATTTTCGTGCGCTGTGTCTAGAATGCAATAGGTACTCCAAGTCAGAGCACATAAATGGACAGTGGTCACACAGAGAGAACATTCATTCAGCCCTCAGCCCACAGAGGTGGACCACCACAAAAGAGACTTACTCTGGCCCAGGCTGAAGAAGAGGCCCCTGACACACAGACAAGCCTGCCGACTCCGAGAATGACCAATGGCGGCACATCCTTTCTTCATTGCTGCTTAGTTGCTACACCTGGCCCCAGCATCACCTCCAGTGCTGACCTTTGAACTCTATACACCTCATCTAATTGTTTTACAATGTGCTGCAGCCATACCTTGTCCTAAATAATAACTCCAAAGGAATCACTCTTTATGAGAATTAAAACCGCAAAAGTGAGAGCATTCTAAGGCTTATTTCGGCTGGAAGTCAAGGCCTTTGGAACTATTTCCAACACCCATTTTGAATCGTTATTCCTTGCTCAGTTCTACCTGCCTTCTACCACTCTTGTATTTGTAAATAGAGATGTTTGATTTCCCCCAAAGCAGGTTCCCCTTCCTGGCCCCTTTTCCATCACCAGGAAGCTTTCCCTAAGCCTTCTCTGTAGTTCAAATCTCCCTGAATCATTCCAGCACTATCCGTGACTTCTGACCACGTAGCAAGTGTTCGCTCTCCAAACTCTAAGAGTGCTTAGCTTTCTCTTTCTTGCATACAACTTACCACACTTCCAACCTGAGTCCAGTATTCTGGCGATCTCTGTTTATTACATGCTAAGCTATATGTTCTTTGGGACAAAATGGGTTCAACTTGTTTGTGTTCTCTTGACATGACCAGCCCCACGTCTTGTCCTGTGTGCAGTACACAGGCAAGGCTTCTACAGCTGTAGAATCAAAGCCTGGTCACAGTCAAGTTCACTTTAATTTCCTGTCCCTCTGTCTGACATCTTTTTAAAGCATAGTTATCCCTTGTTTATATTAAAGTCTCAGACACTGGGCAATGGCCTTAAAGGGAAATACAAAGAAGGAAAAAGAAGTAAAGGTCACAGTAGGTCCCCTTCTGCCCTTTGGTCCACAGATGCTCAGGACCAGGCAAGGAGTTAGGTAAGAAGGGGTATACATACTCCATATGAGGTGACCTTACAGAGGTCTTGAGACAGCGTGCAAGAGAGGATACTGGCTGACCATGGGCTCTAAGGGACAGCCAGAGAAGGAGAGGTGAGGGTCCTTATCAGGAAAATCACTACCAAACATTAGTCAATGATATCATGAGCTGAACAGAAAGAAAGTGTGGAGACAAATGCTGGGTCCAGCAGAGTTGCGTCACCCACAGCAGCAGAGTGTGTGTCGAGTGTGTGTCGAGTGTCAGTGACCCTGAAGCTACCCGGGTCTACACAGAGGGAGGAGAAATGAGCCGCTGTCAAGAATAAAGTGTTACGAATGCAATACTTGTAACGATGAAACCGACACAGGCCATTTTTCATGCTTCTGTAGGAAATTTGTTTCGGAAATCTAAAGT